TATAAAACTATTTATTGATGAAAGATTTATTATATTATGCAATTCAAATTCAGATAATTCAACCTTAAAATGAGCCAGTTTCTTTCATATGTTAATCATATAATATAAACGGATCTTTGCTATTTTCTCAAGCTTTTTAATATCAAGGTGTAAATGTTTTTCGCCAATAAACTATTTAAGAACTGAGAAGTTTCACTCGCAGCCAGCTTGGGAAGGTGAGATACTAAACAGCTTTAATGCAAGTTCTGAAAGATGAGGGAGATGAGTTTTCATAGATCCTCACATTGGGGTATTAAGACCTTGGATATATGGTAAGTCATATGGTCTTTTCCTTGCATCAAAATAATGAAACTGAGAGATTAATTCTGCGCACTCTTGTTTAGTATGCACCAAATTTCTTCATAAAGTAGAGGCAGTTATGGCTGCATCATGAAATGCTTCATTTTTAAGTCCTGCTTCTAAAAAAAAAATTAAAAAAAATTACAATTAAAAAAAACTTAAAAAAATAATTAAAAAAAAAAATAATAATTAATTAAAAATATAAAATAAAATAAAAATAAAAAATAAAAATAAAAATTAGTATAGTGTACTGTGATAGAAAGGATTAAAATAGTAACATAGTAAATAGTATGGATTCTGAAATTCTTCATATCGTTTGTTAAATACTTGAATTGCGATAGATTTAAATGAAATTACTTCTAGAATTTGATAGATTACAATTGCTAATTTAATCATATAAATAAAGCAATCAGATAATGATGTAAAACGGCTTTCTAAAACATTAATGCAAATTTTTATTGGTTTCCAGATAGAATGAATTTGCTGATATTTAGTAAAGAAGTCATCATCATGTAATAGCCTGAAAATTTCTGTATTTGTAATTTTGCTAGAATGCTTAAGCAGTATCTAAATATATGTACATTTATAATTAATAATTAATATATTTATATATTATCATTATTAATATATAAGGGAGAGTTGGATTTATATTATGACGCAGGGGTATTATGCTGCACTCATGTTTTGGATAATATATTGTGATCTACTGTTCAGTCAAATAATTTAGTATCATTTGATTCATTTTACTGAAAATGAATCGAATGATACAAAATTAATCTATTCTGGTCAAAACTTGAGAAAAAGTTAGATACTATGGGCAAATATTATGATAATTTTTTCTTTTTTCCTATTTGAGCAATTTCAGGAAAGAGATCAGCAAAACAAAATATATATATAAAATAAATAAACTGTAATATGATACGTATGTATGAATATCAATATATATATAGTCGCTATAATACTCCCAATTAAAAATATACAAGCTTTCAAATAGCTTTTGAAAGTTCTGATTAGCAAGTTTCTTTTAAAAATTTTAGATTTTTTTTAGCCTATCAATAGATACTAAGTCGAATATTAGTTCATTTCAATAAATTTTAGGAATAGTATATTTTTCTAAGGATTTTTACCATTGGTACTTTTAGGTGTGCTATAACATTCAACCTTTTCTTATATACTAATTCAATAGTTTTTTTTAAAAAAAAAACTATATACCCAGTCAAATACAGGTCATGCTACTAATATAGAGTTGGTAGTATTGTATAATGACCTCCAACGAGTCGGACACCAAGATTCTAGGCCCTCAGACTTGATTTTCATATTGAATAATCCTTGTCGGAGTAATGCTAATTTTTGAGGGGATTTATTAAAAAATCTTATTAACTTTCTACACTGGCTAATAAATTCCTTTATTTCAATGATCTTTGATAGGTCTACAGCTATCAAATTGATAGTATGAGCAATGCAGCGAAGATTCAAGATATGAGGGTATTTTTGTTGTATTTTCGTTCTCACAACTCTGCAATTTGAAGCTGAATCAGTGACAACTGCTGAGAATTTTTTTGGCCCGATTTGTTCAATAATATCTAAAATTTCTGCAACCAAAAAATTGCTAGTATGTGATTCTGAAGAATAATTTTTAAGTGCAATCAAATATTCTCTTCGTTCCATCGTTGTTATAATATAGTTATATATAGATTCTCTATGTTTGGACGTCCATCTATCAAGAACTATATAATTAAAAAAAAAATATTTATATTAATATAAATATAATACAACAGGGCAAACCCTGCATCAAAGATATTATGTTATTGATGTATACCACTATATAACCCTAATTAATTGTAGATCTGCATCAAAAAGGTAATATAAAAAATACGATTTGAATATCCATCAAATTTTAAATAAAAAAACAGGGATGTAGCCCAAACCCGCTAGTTTGAAACTTAGTAGAATCCCAAAGGTTTATTCTAAATTCAACAAGTGTGTCATAACCAAACTATCTTTGGGGTTGACCAAAACTTACTAATTATACCCTCGTTTTGGAGGCATCCTAAAATTTTGCAGTTTTTAAATTATTTATAGAACAATTACAAGTTTTAATATAATCAAATAATATAATTTTATTATTTGATTACAATTAAGAACTTGTAATCTATGCATCGTTGATTGGTTGTTGAGGTTTGAGATGTTCAATAAAGAATGACACAAAGTTTGGGATTGAAATTCAGTCTAAAATTATGATAAATATCTATCACAATCTCAAATTAAGTAGAAATGTCGAATATCTGTAACCGAGTTTGGGCTACATCCCTATCCTATGGCTCATTTGCTGAGAGGTTAAAATAAAAAATATATAAAAATATATACTTACTCAAAGTTAGATTTTCTGCATTTTCTAATTCACCATTAATAGTATTTTGTATGCGCGCAAACTCTTCATCTAATAATTGTCCAAAAAGTGTTGTGCATGATGGTAATGTATAAGCAGGATTGTGAGCTTTAAACAGACTTTTGATGAATGGGTTTTCAACAACTTTGAATGAAATATTAGCTATTATCCAGGCTTTTAGAAGAAGTTTATCATAATAATTATTAATTTGTGAAAGTAAATTGAGATTTAATTGTGAATTTCTTGTATAACTATTATTTTTCTCTACAAGTTTGTTGCGCCAATATTTTTGAATATCCTCAGGTACTTTTGGACAATAAATTGTGAGATGGGCTTTTAAAATACACGGTTTACCCTTGGCCAGTGCTTATTATAATGAGAATATGTAGCTTCATAGTGCCCTGAATTTACTTGTACACCCTTATGCACATAATTTCACACTTCATTGAAGCTAGGGCACCTTTTCTAGCTTTTTTTGGTTTAGGATCAGATTCTGTGTAGAAGTATCATTACTATGTGAATTGGATGCTAAAAAATTTTCATCTTCGTGTAAAGGTGTTTTACATAAAGACGGCTCATACATGATTTGATTTACAATTTGTTAAAAATATTGAATCTGAAAAATTTTGTAACAATTATATAACAGTATATAAAATATCTATATAAACTTATGTCATTAAATTATATTTTCCTGTAAAGATATATCAACATGTCTATAGACTTATATCATTAAATTGTATTTTTATGCAAAGATATATTAGCACGTCTTAACAATAATAAAATATGATATAATATAATTAAGTAAACTTTTTTACATCTGAGTGCGTGAGGGGGAAAAGGTGCAAGTAGCACAAAATATTGTACGATTTGACCAATCAAATTTTAAGATCATTCTAATCTTGAAATTTGATTTGTCAAAACCATACAATATTTTGTGCTACTTGCACCTTTTCCCCCTCACGCACTCATCTATACTGCACCACTGAATATTTAATAAAAGCGATTATTATTTCAAAATCATATGACTTTATTACAGACAACTTATATGGATTAATATACAACAAAAAAGGGCTTAGAAACAAATTTTTAATATGTAAATATCAATGTTTGATAAATTTGACTTTGGTAAACAATTAATATTAATTTATTTAACTGCGTATTAAATTGTATCAAATTATATATTATATTATCTTAACATATGCTAAAAATTTTATACGTAGCACTTAGATGTAACAAACTTGATTTCGGTCAAAAATGCTTTGAAACCCTTTTGTTTACCTTATATGAATTATTTATTTGAATTTTATGCAGATATTTTTTTTAAATTATGATGGCACATAATTGTTGCTTATATAATTTTATTAAATTACCCTTATATGAACTATTCAGGGCCTTTTCAGTGGTTCAGACTTTTTTAGCAGTGTGCTATTATATGTATTTAAATTATATGTAACAATTCAACATTTTTTTAATGCATCGTATTTTGGTAAATATAGTATATACTAATGAAAAGCCTAAATCACTGAAAAGGTCTTATCTGGCTTTTATGCAAGCATTTGTCATTAAATTATAATGGCATTACTACAGGAGAAGAGTGACATTTCTGACAAACCAGAAAGCTTGGATATGCATAGGGCTTGTTGACCAAAAATCATTGAGAGAGATGAGTCATAAAAACAACAAAAGTGATCCTAATGTAAAGGCTTAGTATAATTGCAAACACTTAAACCACTTTATTAGTTTGTAAAAGTTATTTAAAAAGTTATTTAAGGAATATAACTTAGGGTGCTTTCAAGAAAATTCAGTTTAAGACCACGGACATATGCGATTGCATAATAGGTGCATAAAAATGCAATTAATTGCTATTGTTTTTACAAGATTTTATGCAGCATTTGTACAGTGTGAAAGGCAAATCTATTCTTCAATACAAGAATACACTTCAACTCTACACTAATACAAGCTAAACAACTCTAACTGAACTCTAATAATGGTAAGGCTTTGATCGAGGCATGGAAGACTTGGTCCGAGTAACTAGAGTCAATTAGAGCTCTAGACTACATCACGATTCTCTTAATACAGTTTTAAATCACAGGATCTGATTACTAATTCTTATGTTAATACAGATTTTACTTATCGGGGGGATTAGTAGAGCCAAATATTATTAAACTCTAACTGAGTTCACTTTCCAAATTGTCTTTATTGCATGCAAAAGGTAGTGCTTTTATACTTTCGCACTACTAGTAGAATGACTCTAGGGTAGCATTTCCGAAGTTCAGGTTTGACAATCGATATAGATCAACCTGCATTATCTACTAGTGACAACTCCAGGGCGGCCTCCACAAAGTTCAGATTGCAGTATATACTTTTGGCCAAAATTACATAATGTAATGCAACCGGGTCTAATTATAAGCTCTGTTGTATAACACTTATACTTTTATTATGTAATAATTATACTTTTAATATGTAACTAAGTAGTAATTATGTAGTAAATAGTGCATATGCAGGAATTATGTAATTAGTATTAGTAATTGCTTGAACAATGATCATGAGGGAAATTGGGTATAAAAGGGAAAAGAAAAAAAGATAATTAATCGAAAAGTAAGTTAGACACTTGGATTGTTAGTTTTGTTAGTTTCTTACTGAGATACTTAGTTGAATTTTCAGTTAGTACACTGGGAGTACTTCTTGGATTTGAAAGAAATAGCGAAAGCTAGTTGATCAGTTGTTGGTTTTGGTTACCTTCAGTGTCTTGTACAAATATAATAAATACTTGGTTCTTTTTCTTTAATGTTCATGACCCTAAGCTGAATTGGCTATATAGATATAAAAGTTTCTCTCCTGGACGTAACAATATACAATGAATTTATTCATTAAATTGACTAAATGCACTAAATATAATAAATTAGATAAATACGATAAATTAGATAAATACGATAAATCAGATAAATACGATAAATCAAATAAATACAAGAAATTTAAATTTTTTTATTGCTGTAACTTTTATATTATTGCAATTTTTTGTATTGTTATGACCTTTTTGTATTGCCATATTGCTGTAACTTCTTATATTGCTATAACTTTTTGTATTATCATAACTATTCTGTATTGCTGTAACTTTTTATACTGACGTAACTACTGAACTAAGGTTATGGCAAATGTTAGCTATTATGACCTACATCATTATAACATTTTTGATATGATGACACATCACTTAGACGTAACTATATGTCTTTAAATATCTGCATCTATAACTGAGATACTCTACTGCTTCTCCAGGGAATTGTTTCATAGCAATCAAATTGATAGTATTAACATCATCGTTTTTAGATATGAGTATCAAACGTTCAACTAAATATTGATGATTCACTTGCATAGAAAGATTAGGGTATATATAACGAATTATATCATTTAACTCTTGAGATGGTAAAACAATATCTTCAGGTAGTTGAATAGTATTTGTCATTGAGTTAACAACAAAAGGTACACGCCCTTCTCCAACTTTAAGTAACTATTGAGCAAAATCATCTTGCTTAGCAAAATCAGAGGCACTTATGATATGACGAAGATGTATATTAATCGTTAAGTTTTAACTTTTACATGTTTCTAGAGAGCTGACCATCGTATACAGGCTCTTACAATGTTTGCTCTTCCTCCCTTATTCACCACTGGAAGAATTTGCCAGAAGTCACCCCTAACAGCACAACTTTACTTCTGAATGGTTTGTTTTCTAGGATTTGGTCTATGGCTTTCATAAGATCTTGTAAAGTTTGATCCACGGCTTCGAATACATATTGTTTCATCATCAGTGCTTCATCCCAGACAATAAGAGATGCTTTTTGTAGAAGTACCACTAACTCTGAACCATGAGATATTGTACAGGTAGAATCTTCATGTATATTAATAGGAATCTTGAAACAGGAATACGCTGTTCGACCACCTGATAAAAGTAAAGCTACAATGCCTGATGATGCAACTGCAAGTGCGATATGTTAACTCAACCGAATTTGTGCAAGTAAAATACTACATAATTTTAGAAAAAAAAAAATTGATTTTAAAAAAAAACTTATTACTTGTATAAAAAAGGTTTTCTTAATCCATCTGGACCATCAACAAAAATTATAGTTGAAGTATAAGTTTTAACCGCTTTTACAACGTCATCAAAAATAGCTCGCTGATCTACATTTAACTGAGGAAGTCTATCATTAACTATTCGAATAAGTTCTTCAATATCATAATTTAGCTCTTCTATTATTAAACTGTTGTCTAACTCGTAATTATGAAGCATAGTTGGGATGGGCATATTCAGAAAATCTTTAAAGCACCATCTATATTTGCTTAAGATAGATTGTAGATGAATAAGGGCTTGATTAAAAATATCATTTTCAGTTAAGTTGATAAACATATTTCTAGTAGTATTACAGTCTGGGGATATACCATTATTTGGTTATTGCAGATCACACCTTATTTAGCAATGATCATCTATCAGATTGTTCTAGATTTTTTTCCAGATCATTCTGTGTGCTATAACCAATAAAATTTAAATGTTTAAGTAAGTTAATCGGTCACAGTAATTATAAGCTAAAGTTCTGAAGTAAAACTTCTACGTACAAGTGCATAAATATACACTCCAATTCGGCCCAAATATATGACTTCTATAAATGTCAAAATGCACTTTTTCTTATTATTTTCTAAGTGCATGTTAAAGGACAGTCTCAAGAACACGCACTTATAAAGGTTTTAGCATATTTAACTTCAAATAAGGTTGTATTAATTTATTTTATTTTTCGAATTAATGATTTTTTATTAAAAATGTTATTTATAAGGTCTACAAATACTTTCGATTTCAAAGCTTTGAAACAAATGCAGAAATGATTCGAAAAGCATAGGTACAATTGGTTATGTCATTGAAAGAATGCCAGTTAGCCAAAGATGTTAATTAAAGAACTTTTAGTCCGCAGAATACATTGTGAACAATTTGAACTGAAGCGATGATATGTTCCTGGGAAAATTAGCAAGTGAATTGCGCCCAAGTATCATCATAACAGTAGGACGAGTGAGAAGCAACATCAGGCCGGTTATTAAAATAGAAAAATAGCATAATCAGGAAACTACCATGTGTGGTGGGAAGAGTTGGGTCGAGAAAAATGAGACGGTTGCAATGCTTAGTTGTAGAGGGAGAAATTTCTGAGGACTGATGTTTCATTCGATCCCAACCCATATTATCAGTGGCCATGTAGTGTGTAATCTGACTATTCTCCTGTATTTTTGTATTAAGCTTTTATACTTAGCTTCGTTTTTAAATTTATTTCAGTATTTTTTTATTTTTTATATTTTTATTATTTTATTTATTAATTTTCAAATTAAAATCCAACTATTACTATAATTAAGAATTTAACTATACTACAGTACTATAATACAATATTAAGAATCTAGCGCTAACTAAAACTCCAAGTACTAAGCTTTCGTGCTGTTTTAAATCTAAAAATTCTACAATCTACTAAATTCTTATACTACAGTACTATATTCTAATTCTATCTAAACCGTGTAATATGTTATTCCAAATATACCAAATCATTTTGCATTCGTCCCAAATCTACTTAACTTTATATTATGCTATACTCATCCTAATTATCGTCCTAATGATCATATTACATCTATATTTATGCTATGTTCATCCTAACTATTAGGTTATATTCATCTTAACTATTACTAAATTTTAACTACTATACTATGTTTATCCTAATTATCATATATATTATGTTCATCCCAACTATCATGCTCTGCTTGTCCCAACTATCATATTTCGTTCGTCTCATCTTATATTCGTCCCATTCTAAAATAAACTAAATGATCTAAAAAGTTACTTAATATGCATTTTTTCAGTTCTTTTTACTTAAAAATATGCAGAAAATAACTATAAATTTGTTCTCATTTATCTTTTTGAGAACAACGTATTGTGCGGAATTATTTGGGATTATCAAAGCTTGTTGCTTTTATTATCTATTCATATATCGTTTAGCAACAAATAGATAGATAAAATCTTGTAAAACCCTAGCACAAATACATGCATAAAAAGGAAGTATAATGACCAATCAAATACACGAACCGGTTTGTAGATCCTTCTAGAATCTAATTTCCAAATTTGGTATATCCCCGGACTGTATTATGAAATTGATATTGTATATCATCACTCAGTACAAGAATATGCTTATTCCAAAGTAACTCTGATCTTGTTGGTTCACAAAACAAAAAAAGCGTAGCGAATAAGTTACACAATTGTGCACCTGATTGTATATATGCAGCTTCTGTAAGATAGTCATCCTATTCTTTGTCATTTTGCAACAGACCTAATGCAATCAAGTTTCTTAAAATGTATTATAAATTACTCCATCTACAGTACAAAGGTCCTTAAAAGATGTTGCTCCACAAACTATATTAAGCAACATTTGTAAATAGTATAATTCGCCTGCTGCTGGATGAGCATCCAATTAAATTTCCTTGTTTTCTTGGTTTCTATTTCTTAGTTCGCTTATCATAAGTCTACTGAGATAGAAAGTTGCTATATATAAGATTTCTAGCTTTTGGATAATTCGCATTTGCCTCAAACCATGCAGTAAGTATTGTCTTTCCTAGATTCGAGTAGTTAACCACATCTTTTAAGTTTTCTTTATTCCAAAAAGCTACCAAATACTGGTCTGGGAGATGAATTTGGAGTTGTATTACATCTGGCTTTCTGTTGTATAATCAATAATGAAATAAGCTCCAAGAAGCCTCTGATGTTGAAACATATCGAGAATCAAGATAAAGACTAATTTCATCGATATTTTTTACTTGTCATTAACCTTGTTCGCTTTTATATACTTCTACAGTAGCACAATTATGCCTCTTATAGACAGATGTATTTAAACAAATATTTTACTGCAGTAAATGAAGAACATATTTTCACATTTATATAACAATTATACTTAGTAGATAGATATAGATTATATGGCATCACCCAACGCAGTGATGTGCTTGGGACAGTTGGGACATGCGCTGGGACATTTTGAGACATTTTAGACCATTTTTATAAATTAAAATTACTTAAAATTTTATTAAAATAATCTATTTTAATTTTTTTAAAAATATATTCAATACTTAACAAAATATATAATTGTATATTTTTTAAATTAATTTATTAATTAATAAAACTTGGAACTTTGTTGGGACATTTTGGGACAATGGGACATTGGGACGTTGGGACACAGCAAAAAAGCCTGGGACACTGTCTGAACCCATCACTGACCCAACAGTTATCTAATTCTACTTCACAAATATTAACTTTTAGGCCATTTTCCCTTCGTCTATAAACCGAATATCCATTTTTATTACTGACGGTACTTTCTTGAAAACATTTTAGATATCCTTTAGTGCATTTACCATCTTTTATACATGGTGCTTTTGGGCTAAGTATACCGCATAGACCATAAAACATCGATCGTTGAATAGTATCAAATGTATCAGGATCAAGATCTTTGTTAAAAATTTCAGCGTATACAATAGCATCATAATCATCAGTCATCTGAGGCTTGTATTCTGAAGCAAGAATAAAAAGTATGTGTGTATATAGCAAGCCATGCTTTTGAAATTCTATGGTGTACAGATAAGCATCCACTCTTCCAAAAATGCTTTTTTTTACAATGTTGTTAATAATTTCCTTCAGTTTCATATTAAAAACCCGAGTAATTAGATCCGGCCTGTCTTGTGCTAATTGATCTAAAAGAAGTGCATTTGTAATTTCAGGCCAATTCAGGTTGCACGTTGCTGTAATAAATAAATCAGGTTTGCCAATAGCTCGTACAATAGCTATTCCATCCTGATAAAGTCTTTATATTTGCTAAGACCCGCCCGTAAAACTTGATGGTAAAATAACCTGTTTTCCTATATTAGCTGTCTCTCAACTATCTAATAGTTTTTTAAAAGTAGAAGGGACCAGTAAAATGACAGATTACAAATAATAAATCAATAAATAAAAGTGGTTAAATTAAAATAAGATCCCCAGAACCAAGCTAAATCCGATCTCAAAAGTAAAAAAAAAAAAAAAAAAAAAAAAAAAAAAAAAAAAAAACCCTTTTAAAATTTAAAAAAAAAATAAAAAAAAAAAAAAAAAAAAAAATGGGAGTTTTAATAAAATTGGTGCCTGCAAACCTTCTGTGAGTAATGCATCATGAAGCCC